TAACTATAAATACCCATGTAATCGACATAATACACACAAGTATTACGCATAAAATACCGGGAAAATACGAGTAATGAAAGAGTGATTTCGAAGCATTTGTAAAAGATTCGAAAAGGAATTAAAAAGTGGCATTTTTTACCTTGATTCGTTCATTTCTCTCATGTGCATATTGTTTTTCTTGAGATTTGGTTCGAATAACCCAAGACGTGAGAAACACCGATGAACAGAGGTATTTGTCGAGATCTTCTAACCTAGATCTACCCCTGAGGCTCATTCTTTTTTTTAATTTTTTTATTTTTAAAAGGGGGCTTTTGAGAAGCTTTCGAAAATCATTTTTAAAAATAAATAAATTTTTTTGTTGTCGTTCGAGGTTACACAAGGCAGTCAGTTTCTGGGTTCTTGAAGAACATTTGAGAGAAATGAAATAAAGGGGGATTTTTTTGTTTTGAAAATGAGAAATGAGAAATTAATAGAGAAAGTGGCTTAAATACCTGACCAGCATGCCCATCTAGTGACCCGCGCGTCGACCCTGACCCGAGAAGGATCCGCGTGTTTTTGCTTTCAAATGAGTAAATCACCCTTTTGGTCCTCCTATGTTTTTAGAGACTTATTTCGGCCCAAAATTCATCTTAATTTGGCCCTTAGTTTTGATTTTATTTTAATTTGGACACCCAATTTATTTTTCTTTCAATCTAATCCCTTTACAGCTTAGTTTTTTTCAATTTCTTATTTTTGCCTATTTAAATATTATATTTTATTCTTTAATTTTTCATTAGTATTTATATATATATTTAATTATTATTTATTATTATTATTTTCCTTTTTTTAGTATTTTATTTTATTATATATATTATATATATATATATATATATATATATATATATATATTTTATATATATATATATATATATTATTTTATTGTTTTAGTTTATTTATATATATCCTATTTATTTATATGTATATATTATTTTCACTATTATTTTCCTATGTTTTTTTATTTATTTCATTTTTTATTTATTTTTTTTCTTTGTTTATTTTATTTTTTTATTTTATTTACTTATTGTCTTTATTCTCTTATTCTTTATTTTCATTTTGTTTATGTTATTTACTTGTTACCTTTATTTGTATTCTTTTCTTTATCTTTCTTTACTCGTTTTGTTTCATCTCCTTTATTTCATTTATCTTTATTTTTGTCTTGTTTTATAACTTTTTTTATCTAACGTGTTTCTTGACTTTTTAAGGATGTTTTCAAATCGATCTAGGGTAAGTAATTTGAATCGTTATTTTACCTTTTAATTTAAAGTTACAATTTTCTTAATTAAAGACAACTGGAAATTACATAGTACCGAAGGGGCAGTTCAAGGGTGCTAACCCTTTATTGATTGTAACCGACTCCCGAATCCGACACAACTTTAGTAAGACACAGATCATGTAAGAAATAAGGTATCCGATCAACCCATTTGTTTAAAAATAAATGATCGGTAGCGACTTCTAATCCATTTTCTTAAGTCGAAGCCCAATTCCGGGCCCACCAGAAAGACGGTTCCGACAGCTAGGAAACTACCTTCGGGGCTGAAAGAAGGAAATGATCCATTGCTTCGAAGCATGTGTACATCTTTTATCGTATACACAACTGGATTGAGATGTAGAACTGTTAACTCTCCCTAAATCAAATCACCCCTGGATCTATGGTACCGTCGTAAACATCCCTTAAGCTCAGAACGACTCTTGATTTATTTGTGAAGAATTCAATTCTGTGAAAAAATGTTTTGGAATACTTAAAAATTGACTTTTCATTTTTTTTAAGAAAACGTCATTTTAAAAGATAAACAAGTCCAGAAATTCATATTTTGAACAAAAAATGGTTTGGGTCGATTACGCGTGGAGAATGATAAACACCCCCACAACTTCCAAAATTGGTACCCCATTGATTATAAACTATCTCTAATAGTGGAAATCTAAGAATTTGAATATAAATTTAAGTTACAATCCAATTATTCCAAATTCAACCATACAATTTTTATTTAACGAAAAATTCTAAGAAGAAATATAAAATATTCCAATATTTCCAATCGAAGAGAAAATAATCCCTAAAATACTTTAGGACGGATATTTCTCTTTCCAACTGAAATAAAAAGAATATAATAATTTCTCCCAAGAATTCGAGATTAAATAATTTGATTCGACCAAAAATATAAAAATGCCAATTAATCCAAATTACAAATTTAATTAAAAAAGATAAGGGATGTTCAATTATTTAAAAGGGTCGAGACCAAATCCCTAATAAAAATTAGACGAATTATCTCGACAAGTTTAAATAAAGGAACATTTCATTTTCCTTTTATTCTTGATTTAATTTAAGCATATTCAATTTTTTAGGTTGTCTAGTAGAGTAGTTATTTATTTTAAAATATCGGAACACAACATCTAGTTATCTTAAGAAGATCATTTCTTAATATTTTAAAATAAATAAATATATAAATACTACATTTAATTCAATTATGAAATTGATCGAGTTATGCTTATGAGACTTTCATATATATTTGAAATATCTATATCTAAATGCACAAAAAAATTAAATCTTAGAATTAAATATAATATTTCAATCTATCTAATTGTGAATATAGCTAAAGTAGGCATGGACAAACATATTTTAGAGCTTAAATATATTAAACAAAGTAAACACATATTTTGACAAATTTAATTAATCATGCTAGATGATAAAGGTTTGGACTTTAATGGGAAAAAATATACACAATAAAAAGCAAAGATAAAAAATAAGTATCACAAATATAAGTGCTTAAATAAAATAAAATTATAAATAAACATAAGGACCAAAATGCAAGATAACAAAATAAAGCATTCAATGTGATAAAAAATATGAAACATGGGACTAAAATAAAATAAACAGAAAATAAAGTGCAATAATCAAAGGACTAAAATTAAGGTTCTTAAAAATAAAGGATAGAAATAAAAAAAGAAAATTAAAGTAATAAAATTTAAGGACTAAAATTAAATAAATAAAAACTAAAGGATAGAAAATTAAATGTGCATAAAATTTAAATAACAAAAACAAAAGAGCAATAAAAATAAAATGTTAGTGTTACTTTTTAATATTTAACTCAGAGTGTAAATAATGTGAGTCGTACCAGGGGCGGGTTGTCACAAGGTCGTATTATAGTTCTAACATAAAATAAATAAATAAATAAGTTAGCGATTAGTGGTTAATAGAATCCAAACCATAATAATGTGGATCGTTCCCGGGATCGAGTCACCACAAGGACGAATAAAATATCAACAATAAATAAATGTCACAAGGTCGAATCAAATATCAACAATAAATAAATGTCAGTGGTTAATATGCAATAAAATAAAAGTTAGTAGTTAACTCGAAATAAATAACATAGCTAAAATAGTGACCAAATTAAAAGTTAGTAAAATCATCATGTATATTCGAAATAAATAAAAAAAATAAGTGACCATAGTGCAAAAGGGTGCTAAAATACAGAGGAGTGAAGGTGATTTACCCAAAAGTTTTAAAACTAAAATCCCCTTTATCAACTCCGAGAAGCACATGAAAAAAAAAAAAACAAAACATATTCCCCTTTCATCTTCTCTCACGCTCTCCCTCTCACCATGCGCGATAGGCAGCGTAAAACCTCAACCCGAAGGCCACAAAAGCTCCGGCACCGAGCTTGGGATACCACTAACCTTCGACTGAAGACCCTAGTGACCGAGGAAAGCCAAGCTACGGTCTAAGTAACCAAAACTCCATTCTTTCCTCCTATTTCTTTTGCCGAGAACACCCCAAACAACAACCAACTCGTCTCCTCTAAATCCGAAACCTAGAGCCGAGCCTCCATAACACCTAAGGTAAACACCCCTTTCTTTTTACTCTTTTCGTTTTTATTTCTCAAGAAAAAAGACTGCTGAAAAATGAAAGAAAAGAAAGAAAAAAACCTTAAAAATGTTGTCTTCTATTTAAATTTTGGGAAAGAGAGGAAGAAATCCGTTGGGGGAGGGTTTTTTTTCAATATTTTACACTAATTTATTGAGGTTTTTTATAACCCATTTACATATCTCTAAAATAAAAATAAAAAATTACTGTTGAGGATTTGGTGGGGCTGATTGGTGGTGGCAGGGCATGGTGGTGTTGTAGTTGGTGGTGGCAAGGCATGGCTAGGGATAAAAATTGGTGATTACATGTACCCGTGGATCTTATAATTAGGAGAGACAAAAGGATTAAAATGATAAAAACCCAGTTTCAACAACTCAGTCACTGGGTGGAAAGCTTTCGATTCAAGATCAAATATCTCAATATGTCTGAATCGCTTCCCCATCGCTCAGTCATGACATCATTTTCATTTTCCGTCTTGGAAGGCGGCCGACATGAAGCAGTAGAGTCCATGTGGAGTGACATACCTTCCTCGTGTTTCTTTTAGAGGTGACCTGTTAATCCAACGGGTTCTCCAACATGGCGATCAATGTTGATTAACGAATGATAAGTTTTTTATCACCACATTAACGATAATTGACATCAAGTGATTCATTTATTATAAATCAATAAGTTAGTAATCAATTCGTTAGTTTTAAAAATTTAATAGTGAAAACAAAAATTTACACGAATATTATAACTATTCATACAATGATTGATGACATGAAAAAAGAGAAAGTAACACCAAGATTAGAGTTTTAGAACCTATCAAGTGACATCGATGATAAAATAAAATATTATTTTTTTAAAATTTTAAATTCGAATAATTTTATTTGTAAAATATGTGTACACTGTAAATGATTAAAAAAGATTTTAAATGAATATTATATTGTAATAAGGAGAAACTAATAAAAAATTATTATAAAGAAGTGCAAGAGCTAGGTTTTCACTCGTTGACTTGTGGACCCAAACAAATAACGTGCGGTGGAACTTGGTACTGCTTTAATTAATGGGAACGAAACCTCTCTCGCCCTACACAGTCTTACCCCGTGGAATTTCAATTTACACACTTTAGCTGACCCGACTTGGTTTCCCCGTTAACTTTTCTTCTCTTTTTCTTCTCTCAAACTCGCTCTCTCTGCATTTGAAGTGAGAGAACCGAAAACAGCCATGGATTGGACCTCTCTGCAACTCAAACTCATCTCCTGCAGAGATCTCAAGGCCTTCAACTTCTTCCAGAAACTCTCTGCCTACTCCGTCGTTTCCATGGTGATCATCAACGAACAACAATCAAAGAAGAAAGAAGAACACCAAAAGAAGCATCTCCAGCGTCAGAAGACATCAATCGACAGAGGAGGCAAAAACCCAGAGTGGAACCACTTGTTCCAGTTCGACCTCCGAAACTTGCCCCCGGACGAAATCCATCATCTCTTTCTCAAGTTCGATTTGCGCGCCGATGGTTTGGTTGATCGAACAATCGGCGGAGTACGCGTTCCATTGAAGGGTTTGATCGACGAGTTTAGTGGGGTTGTGAGATTTTTCACTTACCAGGTTCGCAACAGGGATGGGAAGCCCAATGGAGTGCTTAATTTTTCGTACAAGTTAGAAGGGAAGATCAAAACGAGTGGAAATCATGAGTATTCTCCCCGATTTATCGAATCATCGTCGCCTGGAAAAAACCATTGTTCCGAGAAAGTTGTGTACCCCAAGGGTGGAGGCCGACACTGACGAAGCCACAGCGTACTGAGGATGCGCTAATATTCACAGTCAAATTTAATTTTTTTCATTAATTATTTATTTTACTGATTTTATCTAATCTAAAATTTTATTTGTCATTTCTACTAAAAAAAAATTATATTACTAACATATATATATTCTCTCAAAAATATTTTTTGATCATCACTAAAGGTCATGATAACCATCACCAACTGATCGTGATTAATTTTGGAATTGATTTTGTCAAAGTTCAATAAATACTCGATTTGAATAGATTTGATCTCAACTCGACCTAAACTCGACCTAAACTCGAGTTCTTAACGAGTCGAAACGAGTTATTTAATACTCGATTCAAAGAGCTCGTAAATAATTCGAAAAAGATAATATATTAAAATTTTATTTTTAATAAAATTAAATTATTAATAATATTAATATTTATATGTTGATTTTTTAAAAAAAATATAGTGTAAGGTTTTCATGTATTAAGGTTCGATTTAAAGTTTGAGTTTCATCCGAGTTAAATTTAAGATTTTTTTTTTAATTTCAAGTTTTTTCAAGCTTCAATTTATGGTTTCGAGTTCGAGTCAAACTTAAAAATTTTAGGCTCGCTGGTTTTTAAGCCGAGCTGAATTTCATTTTATAATTTTCGAATTAAGTCGAGCTCAATAATACTCAATCTCAACTCGACTCGTTTACAACCCGAATGGAGAGTTATTACAATATAAACTTAATTGGAAGATCATCACCAGTGATTCAACCTTCTGTTACTTAATGGTATACAGAGCAGTCAACTTTACAATGATGATTAGTATATATATATATAATAAGATCTTATTACACAATATAAACTCTTTTAATTTTAAACGGATTTAGTATCGCTAAATAGATGTAAATAGATGACTAAGATTAACCATAAGAAATGAGAAATATTCACTGAAAAAATAAAAAGTTAATATTAACCATCTATTTTTACTTATCTAACATCATAAATTTATATAAAACTAAAAGAATTTTACATTATATAAATTAATTTTATCTATCTACCTATCTATATCTATATCTATAATAATGTCTATAAAAATAGGCTTGCTCCTTGTTCTTACGTTCCAAATCCCAATTAGTGTAGTTATTAATTAAGGAAACACTGTATGCCATTGTAGCTGTTTTTTTTTCTATATATAGAATTTTGTGCAGAATATTATCTATGTTTTTTCTCTATTGATTTCTCAGACATTATTTGATAGATTTATGATCTAATTTCTTAGATCAATTTATGAAGTTATAATTAAAAAAAAAAGTGCGAGACTTGTAAGGTGGGCGTAGTAGTATAATCCATTGATCCTATATAAATAGAAAGTAGAGATTAAGATTTTGTACATTTTTCCGTTATTCTTTAATTATTTTCTTTTTGAATTTTTCATGTAAATTTTGATGTATTTTATTTTTCTATTTGATCGTATTCATTTACTGTTAATTATTTCAATAACTATAACACTGTTATATATATGAGGAAATTTTGAAAAGGAAATCCTGGATGGAGATGGGGTGATTGAATACAAGATATCAGATAGATGCATTGAACGCTGCAGTGGAAAAAGTAGGTTGCAAATCGCTAATGAATTATTTTTGGGATTTCAACTTAAAATTGGGTTATTGAGTTGTCCATGTCCAACTCAATTCCGAGTTTTGAATGGAACCTCCATCCATTAATGGTAAAAAGGACCTCTTTGGTCGTTTTTTATTTCAATTTTTATTAAGATTCTAATATAATTAAAATATAGTATTTACGTATATTTTTAAATATAAATAAACTCATATATGTAGATAAAGTCGCTTAAATCTGAATTATTTTAAAAAAATAACATTTCATTTACCAATAAAATCACTTCTTAAATTCTCGTTTTTTATTTTAACAATGAATAAAATAATTCTTTTAAAATAAAAGAATAATTCACCTTCGGTCAACTTTTAAAAAATAAGGAATACACAAATAGGGGTTGGTTTAAGTGATAAGCAACTTGATATCACTTAAGCAAGGTCTCAGATTCGAGTCCTTATGTATGTAGAAAATCTCTGTTCCGAGACTCACCCACCAAAACCAGATGTGCGATGCGAGTCAGTCTGGATTAGTCAAGGCGAAACTTTGGGACCGGAAAGGGTAATTGAAAAAAAGGAATATAATTTAATATTTTAAATAAAATTATTTATTTGAATTATTAGAAATTTAAATTATTTTAAATCAAAATTCGTTTGAACTATAAATCAATTTGTATATGAATGATGGGGGAAGTCTCAAGTGCGGCAGCTTAATATACGGCTAAAAAAAGGCGTTACTGGAAATGTTATTATTTTTTTAACATTTCCGGTAAAACGCTACCTAAAACATTATTTGTTCTACCAGAATGTTAATATTGGGCACTATCTAAGCATTATTTTTTCTACCGGAAATGTTAATATTGGGCGCTACCTAAAATCTTATTTTTTTCTACCAGAAATTATCTAGCAAAATTAACATTTCCGGTAGAACAAATAATGTTTTAGGTAGCGCTTTACCGGAAATGTTAAAAAAATAATAATATTTCCTATAGTACTTGTCACACCCCAATTTAGGGGGCTAAGTTTTAGAAATTATAAAGTAATGTATTAAAGTAGTATTTTGAAAGAAATTGAGGATTAAAGTGTAAAATCGCAAAGCTAGTAGACCATTTTGGAAGTGAAGGAAAATTTAAGGACTTGAACCTGAATTTGCCCATTTTCTAGACTCAGTGAAAAATATATTATTCGATTGGGTAACCCTCAAATTATTTTCCCCAAAAATCCCAAATCCCTAATTTCTCCCCAAAATTATCGCCTCCCTCGACGGTCATCTTTCCCGGGCAAATACGCCGCCGTCCGACCACCTCAGCCCGAGCAACGACCACCGAAATACTCACCGTTGAACGATGAACAAAACTCGACCCCTATTCTATCAAAAATCATCGCCGATTACAATGGGGAGCTCACAAAAAATCGAACGAATCCCTATCACCGTCGTTCAATTTTCCCAAATTCGGCCGCCTCGCTCATCGTTGCGCCTCACCACTTCCATAGTTGTGTTCCCCGGTCTGTTGCGCTCAAGACCCGACCAGTGGGTCGCGTCAACGTCGCTGATTTTGTTTGGTCGTCGACGTGGGTAATAGTTCGGCTCTTTTCTTTATTTCGATGAATTTTGGGATGCTATTGGCTAAATTATTGGTTGATATTGGGTATTTGGAGTTGTAGGAGAAATCGGCCGCCGACCATACCTCTTCTTGCCGGTTCACGCGCCCTCACGTGCACATGGGCCTTGTCCCCAGCTTTGGATCCTTCTAGAACCGATCCAGCCGGTCTTGACCGGCCCAAACCGGTCAACCCGGCTTGAACCGAACTGAGTCAAATTGTCTGCCCGACGAACTGTTGACCCGACCCGAACTATTGAACCGACCCAAACCGTTGACTTTGACCCGACCTATTGATTGTGGTCAGAGTTGACCAGTTAAACCGTTGACCGGTCTAACCGTTGACTGAAAAAGTCAAAATTTCTGAAAAGCGCTATTTTATTTTTTTGACGTCATGAGTTCAAATCTGAAGTCCGTTTTGCCAAATTTGCACTCGGTAAGCTGTTTTTCAAGGTTTTATCTTCGAATTCAAGATTGGTTTCTCATTTAAGTTCAGTTTCTAACGTAAATTTGTTTTCTTTGTATCCGAGGAATTATTAGGTATTGAATTAAAGTTCTAGGGTAATCGAATGAAGTTAAATGGTCGATCGATATGGCAGAAAAATCGAGGTAATATTCTTCTACCCTTTGTATGTTTTTTAGAACCCATTGATAATTGGTATGCACATGAATGAAAATGATTGATCCATTAGATTTAATTAATTGTCATTGGACTCATACGTAAATTGGATTAAGGACAAAACACTGTAAAAGCCTCAGACGACTCGAAAAAGAAATAGGTAGAATGACATAGAATAAACCTCAGTTCAATGATTTAATCAGTAAATCAATAAATCTCAGAACACGTAAATTATTATTAATCTTGTTAAAGGTTAAATGTTGGAAATATTTGGATATGAAATTACCGAAAAGAGCACCATGGATAAATTATGAAAATGCCATTGTACTGAAAAAGAACCAAAATGCCCCTAAAGTGTAAAATGACCTAAAGTATCTCTAAAACTTGGAATAACTAATACCCTCAACTCTGAAATGAACTAATCAACCTCGAATACCAATATGACTTTATTATTATGACAAAATAGAACTGAACTAAAGTTCTGTAATACCCTAATTTTCATGTAAGTGACTTTATTGAAAAGATTTAAAATGTGAGGATTTATTTGATTAAATGGTAAAAGATGAGGAAATAATTTGGAATTGTATTTAGGCTAATTTGTATCAATAGATAAGTTAATGGGACATTGTGGCCTTTTAAGAGGGAAAATGAATTTAAAAATATATTAGGGATTATAAATAGGAGGAAAGAGAAAAGTAAAGCTTCTTCTTCTTCTTCTTCTTCACGTTGTATTGCTCTCCTCTCTAGCATAAGGTAAACTTCCCTTAGCTAGTTCTTTCTTTAAATTATGGGTTGCTTTGGTAACACTAAGTGATATGTAAGCTTAATGAAAGATTAAATAAGGTTAAAACTAAGTGTTGGATGTTTTATAGGAGATTATAAAAAATGGGTTTTTGAATGATATGTTGATATATGTGTTTTATTGAGATTTATAGTAAAATTAACTTGTCAAAGGATTGAACAAGATATTAGAAGCATGAGATATGATTAAAAACATGTTTAGAAAAATGGTATGATTCTTGAGCTGAGATGTTTTATAAAGATGTTAGATGTTAAAGATGAAAAAATGATGTAAAGTTAGTTGGGTTAAGTAAAGAGGAGTTAAATAGTATTGTTGGAGGTAAAAGTATAAGGTTAGAAGGGAAAATTAAGTGATATTAGAGCTGAAAAATGGTAATTATAGGTAAGGGTATCGATACTGATAGAAATGTATCGATACTATAGGCT